GAGGTCTGGCGGTTGCCCCCAAGTGTCCAAGAGGAAGGCGTGTCCCTGTTCCCTAGAGCGCAGAGGTGGGTGAGTTTTGCAGCCGGACTATGAGAACATAATGCTATTGGCTGTAAGGACTGGGGGCACCTCTTATTCATCGGCCCCTATCACAGGTGGCTAGGTGGCGTGGGAGCCACCAGTCCTCAGGCCCCTGATGTGGGTAGGTGAAGATCCTTCTTAATGGGCAAGAGCAGTGTTAAATGTCAAGAATCTGCCACTTCACAGCTGAAACAGTTGAAGTTAGAGTCCCAGTATATACCCTGTTGTACTGCAGTAATGAGGGCCTACACTGTTGAAATGGGCCCACACAAGTCTATGCAGGGGAAAGGCAGTCAAAGTCTGTTGATCCTTTATGCCTGTTCCTAGGCAAAGGACCTGTGCCTACCCTGGGTTCCTGGCTTAGGGGAGCCGGCAGTTTATTTTTTCCCCTGTTTGTTAACTTGTTCACTCTCCAAGGCAGGGAGAATGGCTCCAAGTGTGTGACGGATCCTACTTCTGGTCCAGGGAACTCAGCAATTGCTGAAGCCATCTGGAACCCAGTGCAGAGCAGGGAGCGGGGAGGTAAATGGGAGAGAGGTTTTTCCCTAAGGGGGGTGTTTTTGATCCATGTGGTAGGCCATACACTATAATCTTTTGCTGATGAGGGCTGCTTCTCACTGGTTCTGGGTGGCCAAGTAGATTCTTTGGTGCTGGGTCTCTCCCGGTGCGGAAAACGTGCCTCCCGTGCATGGCTGCTTACCTGCCTCACTGCTCACCCCTGAGCTGATCAGGCCTGAAGGGCTCGGGCTCTTGCCGAGTCAGGTCTGGCAACTCCTCGCTGCTTCTGAAGCATCTCTCCCTCCCTGTCACTCAGTCCGGTTCCTCAACTCTGCCTTTTATGTTCAGGGCTCTCAGATTGTCATATATAATCAAATCACTTGTTTTTTCATGTCTTTTTTGTAAGAGGGTCCACCGGAAGCATCTGACTACTCCACCATCTTGGCTCCGCCTCCTTTCATGTTATTTGGGAAGTTTTCTGCCAAGAAATCTTCAACAATCTTCACTGTCTTTTGCATTTTCTCCCTCTGTTTTGGAACTTTGATCATGCACAAAATTTTGCTCTTGATTGTGTCCCACAGATTCTTTGGTTTTCTTCATTTTTCTCCATTCTTTTCTCTGATTTTTCCTTTTGGTGGCATCCATGGTTTTGTCTTCAATCTTGCTGAGTCTGTCTTCCATTTTTTTCAAATTTGCTCATAAAACCTTCTATTGAGTTACACATTTCTGAAATTTCGTTGTTTAGTTTTTGGATTTCTAGTTGCTATTTTCGTATGATTTTTAATTGTTTATTTATTTAGACATTTTGTTCTTCCTGTTGTTCCTTAAACTTCTTTTGTTTTGTCTGTGTTTTCCTTGATTTTGGCTACGCTTTCATTGATTTTGTCTGTTTTCCATGAGCTCTTTCCTAATTTCTTGGAAATCCCTGAATATTAGTTTTTGAATTCCATATCAAGTAGTTCTAGTACTTTTTCTTTTACTGGAAAGTTATCTGATTCTTTATCTTGGTCACTTACTCAAGCCATCTTGTCCTGCTTTTTTATGTGTTTTGATTTTGTCTGCTGTTTCTGAGACTTTAAGTTATTATTTTCTTTATTTATTGATTTTATGGTCATTTGTTTTGTGTTGCTTTTTTGTTTGCTTTGATATATCAGGGTGGGTGGTCCAGGAGTGCTTTGGTGCTTGCCCATCTGTGGGCATGATAGCTCTCACGACCTCATTCTGGTGGGAAGGGCCGCAGCAGGCAGGGTGAGCCCACTTTGCTGTGCACTGTTTTGATGAGATGGCTGAGCAGGGACTGGGTGGGCACTGTCTGCCTCTTCATGTTGGCCTAACAGTGTGTGAATATTCATAGCCCTTCATTGGATGTGTGGAAGTGTCAGATGTGAGGTGTTTCAGCAGCTGTTCGAATGGCGGGAGGTGATGGGCAGTGTAGGCCTGGTGTTGTAGTGGGCCTGAGTGCTGGGGATGCTCTAGCTGTGGTGGCTTTGTGGGGGCTAGCAGTAAGGGGAGGAGGTGGTATACAGGGATTGGTGGGAGTTAGAAAGAAAAGAGAGAGAAAGAGGAAAAAAAGTGCAGTGTGGTGGGAGCTGGCAGATGGGGTGGGGTGATCCCGGGGGCTGGTGAGTATGTGGGGGAGGTGGCATACGGGGCTAGGTGGGACAGAGAATGAAAAGATAGAAACAAGAAGAAAAATAATGGCAGTGTTGTGGGGCCCAGTATGTTGTGGTGGCGCCTACCTGGGGGCCATTGGGAAGGTAGGGGAGGTGGCTCACAAGGCTAGATGGGATAAAGAAAAAAAATGGCACCGTGGTAGGAGCCAGTGTGTTGGGGCAGGGTGGACCTGGGATGGCCGCCTGCCAGTGCTCCTGTGGCTGTCTAGCTGCAGTGGCATGACGGGGGCCAGCTGGAAGGGTGAGAGGTGGCGTACAGGATTTTTAAAAAGTGTGTTTCTCAGGTTACTGGATGCTCTGTCTCTTGTTGGGAGCTCTGTAGAGTTGTCTTCCAGTACTCCTTATCCAGAGTCATTGCTGGCTGTGTTTCAGTGTGGCCATACTGTGCCATGTGGAGTACCTCCACTCTGTATCTCTCCTTGTTCTCTGTTTTTGGGCACTTTCTTCTTCCATTTGGTGTTTGATATAGTTCTTTATCCTTTCATTTGATGCTCAAGGTTCCAGGATTGAAATTTATATTTGGTTTGCTTAGTTTTTTGGGTCTTTGCTGCAGAGTAACAGTGTGGTGTGTCTGTCTAGGGCATCATGTTGGCTCTGCTCCTTTTTCTCTTTTATAATACAAATTTTCAGAGCCAAGTCTTGGTTCTTCATAAGGGCAACCATATGTGCATTAAAATTGCAGGATTTGTATCTTATTTTAAGCTTTTCTTTTTCTCAGTAAAAACTTTTCACAAACAGGTATGAGGCATTTTTTTTCTAATTGTACTACAGATTTATCGAGATTAGGCATGCATTAGATGTATTCCAGTGCAGTTAACCTGGACAGTGTCAGTTGCCTCTGCTTGATGGAAAGATTAGAAAGCTTCATTCTGTCACCTGATGCCCTGCTGGATAAGTAGAGATCATGGACCTCTCCTTCTGAGACCAGACCATTCCAAGGAAGTAACTTACCAGCCCCAAGGGAGGTGTTGGTGAGGCCCTAGTCTCTAGGCTAATTGGAAAATTACTTCAATATAGCAGACATCTTGATAGAAAAGGGCAAAATGGTTACAGCTGTTCTTTGAATGGAAAATTTTAATGTTGCAAATACCATCTGTGTCTTCACACGTACTAGTTATAAGAAATACTCCAGCCTTAACTTTTGCTCAAAAAAGTACACAGTGGTGTGGTGAGAAAGACCAGAATTTCCAGACCTTTGCTAATCACACCTTCATGTAGATGAACTCTACAGATCATATTGATAAAAAATTGTGATTAGAATCATTATTTGAACTGTTCAGCAGCTATGTGTTTATGTAGGAAATGAATATACAGCTTCAAGGAAAATATATTCAATGGCATACTGTTAGGAAAATAGAAAATAAAAAATACTGTTTTAACTTATGGCTTCTACTTTGTTTCTAATATTTGAAAAACTCTTTGATTTTAAATGAATATTACCTAATTTAAAAAATTTCCTGACTTCTCTGAAGCAAGGAACATTAAGCTCTCTTAATTATCATAAATTATGTTGGAAAATCTGAGAAACTATATGATTATTACTAGCTTTTTAGTGGATTTTGTGAAATAGCATTTTAAATCCTCTTCTAATTTTAGTTTGAGACTTGAAAAAGAATGAATGCTGGAAAAATGTATTAGACAGAAATATGTATTAAAATGGGAATAACTATTCAAAGTAAGTTTTCCTTATCTTAAAAGCAAGCAATTTTATATTTTCATCCTATAGCTTTCCTTTTATTAGTTTAAAGCCACAGGTCTTTTCATTGGCTTGACTAAAGGTTAGCTTCCCCCTTTTCATTCCTTAGGATGAACAATTTCCTAATTCTTTTTTAAATTATTGGCATTATAGTCTTAGCTGCAGCTTACTTAACTACTTAACGTTTATTTGCATGGCACAGTGATAATAATCATGGGTTTTGGAGTCCATGGCAACGGGTTTGGTTTTTAGTTTGGAGTCAAACTGCTTAGGTTTCAATCTCTGTTCCACCATTTTCTCGCTGTGTCGTGTGCAAGAGAGTTAACTGCTCTGAGGACTCTCTTCTCATCCATTAAAATGAGATAATGTATGTAGAGCACCTAGTGTAATGTCTAGCATATAAGTATCTAAAATATATATAACTGTCACAAGTATTTTACTAAAGTGTGGCAAACTGAATTTAGTGTCCTACTATAAGTTAACCTTTTAAAACAGAAAGTGTTTTCTCCTTTCTGTTCACTGAAGAGCTGGGCTTTGGAACTAAGATCTAACCTACAGGATTTGGAGCGGGGCTGAATTTCATTGCTAGGCTATTTCATATAAGCATGGACTGAAGAAAATAAAAATTCCCAATACTTTTAAAAATTTCTATTTTAGTTAAGTACAGTATAGCAGGAGCCTTGTTGGTGTGGTGGTTAAGCGCTTGGCTGCTAACTAACAGGTTGTCGATTAAAATCCACTTGCTGCTCCGTGGGAGAAAGATATGGCAGTCTGCTTCCATAAAGATTACAACCTTGGAAACCCTATGGGGCAGTTCTACTCTATCCTATAGGGTTGCTATGAGTCGAAATCTACTCGATGGCAACGAGTTTGGGTTTTGGTTATCTGTTGTGGCGTCACTGATCACTAAGTCATGCCTTAGTTACAATAATTCATTCTCCTTGTGTATGGGAACACATAATCACAAGAGAATATATAATCTTACTGGTTCACCATGGTAACTGGCTTCTAACTGAGCCTCACTTTATGAATGCTCCTTTGATCCCAAACAGGTTTTGGCCACATTTGCAGCAAGACTTTGAACACTTTTAAAGTGAGTATTTTAATTTCTGTAATTCTATTCCCCATTATTTATACTTACTCTTAACATTAATAAAAAACAAAATAAAACAAAGAAAAGCAATTCTGCTCACCTTATATTTTAGTGGTAACACCAGACATTAGAGTCCTTTCATATACATTGCTTTCATTAAGGATTCTGTAGTGATAACTGCCAATTTTTCTTTTTTAAAGAGTCAGTACTTTTACATTTGAATAACATCAGATTTCAGCAAATCATCCCCTGAATTAGAATCAAAATGCTTAAGGCAAAAGCATGTAGCTTGTCTGGACTTTAAAATGAAGTTATGATATTTTTTGTCTTTTAGCTCATATGTGGAGATTTGATTTTAGAGTGAGAGCAGTTAAAGATGTAACTTAACATTCGTCACAATAATTGATTTCACATATAAACAATCCACTTATGAGGAATTGCTGAAAGAATATGTTATCATCCCTGGAGGTAAAAGAGTTCAGTCTGGCTTGATGGATTCTTGAAGAATCCATGGATTCTATTTTTAGTTGAATTGCTGTACAACTTAACTCCCACAATTTTCTGTTCAATCAGGAGGGGAAATTACAGGCTTTCATCGCCCAACACTACATTTGATGTTCAGATTAGCTTCCCCTTCATAAACCTGTAAGACAAGAACCGGGAGCTCTGTAATATCCAAAATAGGTTGTAGATGGGAGATGGTGGAGACAGTTCTCCATAGTTCTTTTGCATTTGTGCACATCTTGTAAGCAGAAAAATTGACTGCCTTTGTTCTGGACTGTCCTTTCAGGATATCTGTATAGCAGACAGCCTTGGAAGATATAGTGTCTCCCTCCAGAGCAAATGTCAGGTTTGCTTACTGCCTGTTATAAAAGATTCTGGTTCTCTAAGCTCAGGGTTCATGTTTTATAATGCAGTTCACTGTGTGTGCAGGTGTCATCTGGCCCTCTGTGTTGCCTTGTGAGAACTGAAGATCAGGGAACAAGTGTAAGAAAATGCTCATAGTGTGGCTACTGCTATTTCTGTGACCCAGGAGTCTTGTATTTTCTGCTAGCATCCTTGAAACTTGTTAACTTTCCAATAGGGTAGAATCTGGACATGCTGTTTTTCTTGACAGTAATGACCTGAATAACTATGGCAGCAATTAAATTGTGCAGAAACTCACCAATGAACCCACAAAACCAGATAACCCAAACCCCTTTTTATTTTAGCAACATTTATTTACTAGTTGGTTAACTTCTTGGACCATTTGATCCTGTTCTTATTTAACTAATTAAGCAATACATGGCAGTTGTTCTCAGCTGGACAGTTTGGAACATTCTTTATTGCCTTCAGTCTGGGAGTACATTCATAGCATTCATAGTGTTCTCTGGAATGTTCATCTGGGGCACACTGCTCAGCTAGGGCTTCAGACTGGTTCTTTTTCCTATGGCAAATGAATTTCCTTTGGCCAGGGTTACAGAATTCTCTGAGTTGTCATGCTCCCTTGAAAGGAAATTGCTTAATTTCCTTTGTAATGAAATGTTATCACTTTACCAACTATAGAGGGGAAAAAACCAGTACTACAGCTCAGGTAGTCTGAAAAGGTAGTATTTGTGTGTGTGTATGTATGTTTCTGCAGTCATGGACAGCTCTTTAAGTGTGAAGCTTATAATATGGAGCTACCATCATTTGGATGCGCTTAGCTGTTACTTCCCCAGAAGGGTCTAAAGAGATTGACCAGAGGTATGTAGTTTTTCTTTGTGTGAAAGTAACCAGACCAAGAATTGCCTACCAAATGAACCTGGACAGTCATGAAGAAACAGTGATATAAACAAAGTTTAGATGGTTAAGCAGCATTTAATAATATAAATTTCATTATGGATATTCTTATAAATTCCAAAAAGAAAGAAAAATTGCAATCATCATATGTTTGTGTAAGACCATTCATAAAATCCTTTACTTTGAATAAACAGTGAAACTGAGGGTCAATTTTAAATTAAATGGCTATGTTTAATTGTTCAGTGTGCGAAAAATAAAAGCCATGCCTATTTGTCTCATTATATGAAACTAAGAAAAATATTATTTAGTTAGACAAGGTTTTCATTGTTTGGAAAACTGACCCTATGATCTAAAAATCTGACAGGATTTTCTGTGAAAATTACCCATTACATAATGTGTACAAATATTTGATATCTGTTGCTATCAGGAGTTTAATAGAATAATCATTATTAAGGATAAATAAGTTAAGTTGAATTGGGACATTTTGTGCCATTTACATGAATTTGATCCGCATGTGAAAGGACTGCGGTTCTTTCCTGCATTTAACAAGTTGCTTAAGGTGGGTGTTCAGGTGGTGTTAGGTTAAAAGAGTCTCTCTCTACTCGAGTGATACATTTGCAGTAGGTCAGAACTTCCTGAATCCTTCTGTTATGTTTCCTTTCCTACTATTGCCACCATTATGCCACTTTAGAATTTAAAAAGGCCATTGCATTAAAATATTTTTATTGTTTTGAAGGAGAATTTGGTCCTAGTAAATTCTGGGGTTGAAAATGCAGTAGGACATATGTAAAAACAGCTTCCTTTTCTTTCGAAAAAGTAAAGAGACGTGGGTAAATAATTTTCTTTCAACATAGAATCATTAGGAATTACATTTCTGAGAATGTGCATGTATTGTGTGTGGGCTTTATTGGTCTTCTACCTAGAATGATTTGAGAGACTTTCAGAGGTTTGTCAGTGATTTCCCTACTTCTCATTGTTTCACAATATTTTCAGCCCTTCTTTTCTCATACACAAATATTGGCTGATTTTTACAGTGAACACTAGCTAAGTACTTGAAGGAGTTGTGAGTATAGGTTCACACTGACTTAACTTTGGAACTTTTTTCATAATTTCCGGCTTATTTATCAGTTGGAAGTGGTAATTCTTTTAGATTTAGAACAATTTAATCAATGCCAGATAACGTAAAGGGCATTTTTACAATATAGCAGAATTTTTTAATAGAAATTGACTCTAGGACTAAAGAAATGTATTGCTTGGCAATATTTAACTGTCAGTCAACTTTCTATTAGACACTGTTACATTAGAAGTCACCTTTATATAGAACATTGTCAAGATACAATTTCTTTGGTCAAGACTTTTTCTGAGTGCACTACTTTCGGAGTTTTACTGTACTGCAAAAATAAAGCCAGACTAGTTGCTGTTGAATTGATTCTGACTCATGGTGATCCCATGTGTGCCAGAGTAGAACTGTGCTTCATAGGGTTCTCAATGTCTGATTTTTCAGAAGTAGATTGCCAGGCCTTTCTTCCAAGTCACCTTTGGGTGGACTTGAACTGACAGCCTTTTGGTTAGCAGCCAAATGCGTAACCATTGCACCACCCAGGGACATTAGAGGGTACCATTCAATCAAGAATGCAGTTCCTGAACATACAATGGGTCTCAAAGCTATTGTCCTTACCCTGATACAAGTAAAAATAATAAAGTAAAATCAAGTTATTGTTTATGGTCTCAAGCAACTTATAAATTATAATTATAGAATTATAAATCCAATAATATAGTCTGGCCTCTTTCTATTGCAAGAAAGTGGATGGATTCGGGCTGCGCTAATAAGGGAAATAATTGGACACAGACCCTATTTTAAGATGTGTTAGCAATGGGCTGTTCGAATCCACCAGGTGCTGCTTGGAAACTATGGGGCAGTTCTACTCTGTCCTGTAGGGTCGCTATGAGTCGAAATCGGCTCGACGGCAGCAGGTTTGGTTTTGTTTCAGCAATGGGCCGCAGAATTCTTTATGTACCAGGCGCCCCTCTGCATTTCACCAAATGTAATCTCACTATAAGGTATAATGTAATTGTTATTTATTAAGTGCGGACCATACGCCTGGCACTGTGCTGAACTCTTTACATGCTTATCTTATGAGGCAGCTGCTATTATTTTCATTCTAGATTCACAAATGAGGAAATTAATACTCAGATTAAGGAATTCCCTCCAAATCATACACTTGCCCAAGATTTATCAGATTAAAAAGAACGGCTTAAACACTAAGCATAGTGACTAATAAAATAATACAGTACCATGCTTGTTTTCTCATGCTAATTAGACTATCAACTTAATGAAGTCCCTTGAGGGCAGATATGGCTCATAGTTTTTTTGTATCATTCTTAATGCCAAAGCTTGACCCAATATAAGAGCAAGAAAACTGTTATCTTAGGAGTTTTATACACAGGGTAGAAAGTTTTCCTAGATTATCACAGAACCTCAGAGTGGGATAACTTCCATCCATACCAGAAGCAACAAAAGCCTCTTGGAATTTTAAGAAAAGGTTACTGTGAAGAAGCAATGAACGATTCATATCAATTTCATTGACTTTACAAAAAAAAGCCATATTGCCATTTGAAACTGTTTTCATATATTTGGATAATTAAAGTGTGAAGTGCCACCACAACAGTGTCAGTGACTCGTGACTACTGATGACTAATGAAACGAATTCTAAGAGGTTAAGTGTTTTAGGCTGTTCTGGAGGCTTTGGCAGTGCCCTTAAAGTAAAAGTGTTCCTTGAAACAAATCACACTATAATCAAGTGTCAACACTAAATATTTGTGGCAAGTGCTAGTCTAACATATATGGATCTTCTGTTCCAAAATTTTCAGACTAAGATTGCGCTAAGAATTTAAAAATAAACAAACAAATTCATTCCAGCCTCCACCTCCCAGCAAATCACTTCATCACCATCACCATGAGGGATTATCAATTCAATATAGTGAGTTCCTGTTCTTATTTCAGCCCTCTCTAGGAGAACTTTATCATAATAGGATCAAGGAAATTTCATTAGTTGTAAAGATCATAAAGGGCTATAAAAATGGTGGTGATTTTATAGTCAGCAGAGATATTCTCCAGTTTACCATCTTCTCTATGCCACAAATTCTGGCAGTAAGGAAATTCAATTGGACAAACCACGTCTCCAAAAAAGCCATACTTCCTGCAAATGCTACAGGGCTTCTAATTCTGGTCAGACAGA